TGTGATTTTGTTACCCCTGAATTTTGCTATTCCATAATTGAGCCACCTCTTATATATAACATTAAAAAGAATGGAGACAATCACAGGAAATTTTAATTACTGACAGAAACATTATGCTGTTACCCTGTCTCTCTGTACAACAGTAGATTTTTTACAAGTCGTAAAAGAGTTTTCTGACGGAGGGTGTTTTCTTTTATTATATGGAAACCCTCTCTTTACGGAGTGTGACTGTGCTGTTTAAAGGCATTCAGGTGCTCCTTGCGTGACTCCTATGACAAAAAACCAGTAGAGGAGTGGGTGTGTGGTGCTGGCACTGGTTATGTGACATCACTACACTGCCAAACAGCAGGGAGAGGCGAGAGCAACGTGGGAAGTGGCTCGCTCATTGAGGGGAAACTAGCAAGCTTGACACACCTTCCGTCTGCCACAGAATGAGAAGAGGGAAAGTACATAAATATAGCATCATTTATTTAATATGAATGGGCGTGTGTGTGTGTGTGTGTATATATATATATATATAATAAAATATAATTTTTTTATACACCAAAGTTGTAAGATTGCATGTAATTAAAAACATACATATTTAACCAAGTAAAAGTGGGAAATTTTTAATTATCACTCTGACAGTAATGCAAATGATGCCGTGATTTGTGGCTGACCTTGCGTGTGTAGGAAACTATTAACCCCTTCAATGACACCCGGTTAAACACGTCTTTCTATCCATGATGAAACCCCCAGCCAAGTCATCTGTCGTGAAAGGGTTGGCAATAGCAAACAAGCTGAGTGAAAGTTACACCCAAATATAAGACATTTATTTGTATTCTTTTTTTTACTGCTTCGCACTGGAGCAGATTATTGTACCCGTTAATAGGCATTTTATGGTGTGCTGTGATTGCTAAAACATGGATGGAATGGATGCACTTTGACGGACTATACTTTGTATATTTCTTTCTGTTGTGCACTATATTTATTGAATAACTTTGTGTACGTTTTTCTGAGCACTGGTTTGTAACATTACTCATAACAAGAACCAGCAATGTCTGGTAAAATAATCACCACCCTCTGCATAAAATGGAAGCCAGAAGCTTCAGTCACATGTAATATTCTGATGAAGGGGTTGGTGAATTTTTTTGGTCTGAGTACTAAGTATATGCACCCTCCCCTCTACACGCACACAACCCCTTCCTCTCCTGCCTGCAGTCAGACTTGTTCAGCTGGTTTCTTTGATTTGTTTTAGTCGGAAGGGGCATGTTTACACCCTGCTGAAAAATTATGAGCTGCCTTAAACTGCTGAAAGAAACCGTTGCAAGAGAGGTGCAAAGAAATATATTAAAAGGAAATAGATTAAAATATATATTGGTGTGCTAATTATATGACCAGCGGATCCTTGTACGTGCATTAATTAGCACTTTGCATTGTTTGGGTTGCTCTCATGGGTAATAAATGTGTAGTATGTAGGCTTTCTGAATCAGCATGCCAATGACACACTCTGAGCCAAAACATCGAAATTGCTGTGGGGGTCAATTTTACCTGGATCGTGATTTCCATCTTGAGATGTATAAAATCAAACGGAGAAAACATTTATAGGAGCTAATCTGTATGTATAGATTGTGCATTATGTTCGCCCCAGGAAGTCCACTGAAATATAGATCTAGTTTATTGGTTCTCAACTCAAGGATCAGGATAGCTGGATCCCCATGCTATTTTAATGTGTCCAATTGGTCGGAACAGGCTCATCATCTTTGCAAGACCTGCAAAGAATTGTTTACTTTAGTAGCGTTCCATTCCCCAGTGAAATGAAAACTGCCTGAGATACTGGATCCATTGCAGAATTTATTTTTGCATAATATAGGCTAATGCCAGATATATCATTTGGTGCCTTGTGAGAACAAAATAAAAGTCCACAAACTGTTTAGAAGCACAGCTCTAGATTAATATCCAGGGTAACATAGCTACAAAGAACGAACGGAGAGACCTAGGCCTTACAGACAGTTTGTTATACATATTTAGCTAGCATCTGAATTGATTGATAAATGATCCTGAGTTCCCTCTTCCCACTCTACTTCAATTGGAACTTTCTCAAAAGCTGACGTTTTAAGCACCTGCCGTGTTTGCACACGTGTACGACCGTTTCGGACCTTTTAAATCGTGGTCACTTAACTTGTTCCACTGATCCAAAATTATCCAAGTAATAGACACGTGTTGATATATATTTTATAGTTTAGTAAAGATACTATATACTGTCAGACCTGCCTTAAGGCTGGCATTTATCATTATTTGTCCAGACATAAAGACCCATACAAGCGTCTGAATGTAACATGAAAAAAGTTCATATTTTTCTTTTGTTTTCACTTTCTGACCTTTTACAGCTGCCCCACCCTGCAATCCACTGGAAACATGACAAGGTTTGCATTTTTTGTTGGAAGCAGGTCTCGCCACCTTTTTATACAGAGCCAGATTAAGATCCCATTGGGTCTTAGACAGGATAGCAAATTACTGCACCCTTCTTCTTAAAGGGACATTCTAGGCTGTATAGCAATCATCTCATTGAACTTGTTATAGTGAATAGTATCTTCTGGTGCTGTCCATCTGTTCAGTGTTGGGCATGTTCGAGTAGTTTAACAGCGAATGAGGGTCTCTAGCCAGCCAAAGCCTGGCCCCTACTGGAGGTATGACCATTATATGCCTCATGTTTTTACATGGGATGTACTCCGCATAGTTCAGAGATCTCCCTCACCGGTCCCAAGGCTCTTAGTGACAGTGAGGACTGGAGGACCTGGGAGGCAGAGCGCTCTTCCCACGAGCATGCTGTGCGGAGCGTTGCCGCGTGTTACCATGGCAATGCTCTGACAGCATTCTGCACGTGGGAGGAGTGAAAACAGCCTGCAGCCAGAGGAGCCCCCCTCACACACACACACAGCACCCCTGACACAAAGCAGCCCTCACACACAGCACTCCTGACACAAAGCCCCTTTTACACGCACAGCACCCCTCACACACAGCACCCGTCACACATACACACTGCACCCCTCACTGTGTGTATTCAGTAGTCTGGGTGTATTCAGCAGTGTGTGTGTGTGTGTGTGTGTGTGTGTATGTATAAAGCAACCTTGGTGTATTCAGCAGCTTGTGTTCATTCAGCAGTATGTGTTTTTTCAGCATTCAGTGTGTATTCAGCAGTCTGTGTGTGATGTCAGTGTACTGTGTGTATGTACTCAGCAGTCTGTGTGTATTCAACTGTCTCTGTGTGCGTGTGTGTGTGTGTGTGTATTCAGTGTACTGTGTATATGTACTCTGCAGTCTGTGTGAACACAGCAGTCCATGTGTTTTTTTGTGTGTGTATTCCATGTACTGTGTGTATATTCAGCATTCTGTATATATTCAGCAGCCTGTGTTCATTCAGCATTCAGTGTGTATTCAGCAATCTGCGTGTGTGTATTCAGCAGTTTCTGTGTGTGTTTTTGTGTGTTTTCAGTGTATTGTGTGTATGTACTCAGCAGTATGTGTATTCAACTGTCTCTGTGTGTTGTGTGTGTATATGTACTCAGCAGTTTCTGTGTGTTTTTGTGTGTTTTTGTGTGTGTTTTCAGTGTATTGTGTGTATGTACTCAGCAGTATGTGTGTATTCAACTGTCTCTGTGTGTGTTTGTTGTGTGTGTGGATATGTACTCTGCAGTCTGTCTGTGTGTATTCAGCAGTCTGTGTGTTTTTGTGTGTGTATTCAGTGTACTGTGTGTATGTACTCAGCAGTCGGTGTATGCGTGTATTCAGCGGTCGGTGTGTGCGTGTATCCAGCAGTCGGTGTGTATGTTTTGCATTTGTTGGAGGTACCAATAAATATAAGCTTAATTTTTATCGATAATTAACGTTTTTATTCCTGTGAGTTGTTGTGTTGGAAGGGCCCCAGTGCACTGCCTGGCCCAGAGGCCAATAACGCTGTTAATATGGCACTGCTTGTGTGTGTCAGTAAACTTGTCTGTAGTGAGCCGTGTGTGTCCGTAAGCTTGTATTTAGTGAGCTTGTGTGTGTCACTGAGCTTTTCTGTAGTGAGCCTTGTATGTCTACACAAATTAGTTTGTCTGTATTAAGCTTGTGTGTGAGTCAACATTTTGTCTGTCAATGAGCCCATTTGTGTGTATCTGTGAGTTTGTGTTTTGTCAGTGATCTTGTCTGTCTTTGAGCTTGTGTATCAGTGAGCTTGTGTGCTTACTGTATACCTGTATACTGTATCAGTAAAGAGAGAATTGCAGGGAATTGAGATGGGAATTTCAAACTTTAGGCCAAAATAGTGCAGCTGAATGGGAGAATTATTCCAACTTGCCTACTTTGGCCTTAAGTTTAAAATTACCATCTCAATTCCCTGTAATGCTCTCTCTATTGAGTAGACCCTGTAATCTGAACTATGATAAGCAGGCAAAGATTAATTATGTGGGATGGACACAGTGGGCGCAGCTTTGTGGGTGTGGTACATTGTCAAGGTACGGTAGTAATTGATAGCTGTGCTGCAAAGTGTGCCTGGAATTTTTAAAAAAATGTTGGCAACTATATGCATTGCTAACCCCCATGTTTATGGGATGTGGATACACAATTCGATGTCCTATGTGCATATTTCATTACACTACTCTAGTCACACCATCAAGGTCAAAGTGAGTTTAACATTGAGGGGAGTGCGGTGGAGGGATCTATGTTTAGGGGTAGATTTGCATTGCCGGTTCCCCAATGCAAATAATTTCTGGTGCCACCCTCCTTCAAGTTGAATGTTTACATACTGTATCCACAGGAACACTTTGGTGGTGAATCTAAAGAGACATAATCGTGTCCTACAGGGTGAAGAACCAGATGCAAATCCACACAATAGGATTCATTTGCCTCTATCCCCAACACTTCCCATCTTGCTTGAAGCAGACCTGACACCTTTTGTGGTTTTAATATTTTAGTAAAAATACATACATGTACCTTACAGAAACAAAATACACACAAAAAAGTAATTTCTATTGATTCTTATGTCATGGTCACCAACAGATATTTTGGTTTTGTGCTTCCCTGGACCTTCTTTCAGTTTTGCTGTCACAAGTGACATTGCTATTTTCTTCGTAATGCATAGAATGCAAAATAGGCCTCTAGATGAGCTGGGATCTTCATGCACATTTAATTTACATTGGTTTAATTGTGTGTTGACATAACATCAGCTGTCTATGACTGACATTTGATGACTTTTAAAGCCACAAAGGTTTGGTGAGCTGTCCAGAAAACCAAAATATTATGCTAAAGAAAGGGAGGGATTATACTCCCTTTCATTTTAATTTTTTTACGCAAATGAGAGTTTGATGTGTGCATTTTGTCAAATCATTTCTAATTATTGTTTGTTCGCAAGCCATTTTGGAAGATGGAACTGCTTATGAGGTTGGTGTGTGCATATAAATCGATGTGTGGGGACAAAATAACTGATCCAACCCCTTCCTCACACTTGGCTATAGAAGGGCCAGGTAGATGTCAGTTTCCATTGTTTAAATAAATAAATCTTAGAATATAATTTGAGCAAGGAATTTATATCACTATGTAAAAACAGCATTCCGCAGTGTACACACAATGGTTACTAGTGCAGCCGTGTTTGTCTGATATTTAATATGAAGGCGTCAGTGCATGGTTTCCATAGATATGAGTGGTACATTAATTTTAATATGTTCATTTTTAATATCTTATTTTTAGATGGTAGTATTTTAAAATCCTTTTCATTTTTGTCTTCACTTCATTACTCTGTGCTTGACGGTGTGTGTGTTTGTAAGCATGTAGAATTTTTTTTTTTATTTTTTTTTTCTTGCAGATCATATTGTAACCATTTGCACATACAGTAAGTATATCTGAATGTACAGATCCGGCCAACATCCTGTGATTTGTCTCCAAGTCCCCAGTCGGTGTCTTATTTGAACTCTTGACCTGATGTAAGATGATGTCAGCAGAGTCCAGGTTTGAGTCACCCAAAGCACAGGGCAGAGTGGGGGGAAGGTGCTGTTATGGGCATTGAAAGTGGAGAGCGGATGGATCAGCAGTGGTGGGGGTGGGGGCTCAGCCTAGGCTAAAGACTGCTCATATACAGACTTTTTAAAATATATTTATTTCTTTTCTTTGCACGTAGGCATTTCTTAGCAGGCCTACATTAATGTCCTATATGAAAACTAGAAATGTTATGTGCAAAAAGGAATAGCGCAATCATTCTAACAACGTTGTGACAGATTTCATGCCATTAGATAATGCTATATCATATACCATAGAATACTGGTTTCTTTTCTTAGCCATTTGTAGACAGCGACCCAAATTATGCACATGGCATTAGCTTACTGATCCATTATTCAATTGTAAAATCAGTTCAGGAACTAGTTATTCAATATTAATAGAATATTACATTATTTAATATAATAAGGTATATAAACCACATTCACTGAAGCACTGTTATTACATGTTTTCTATCACACTGGAGAGGCTGCACTACAACAGTAAACTGCTTTTTGTACCAGGTTTTGGGTGCTGATCTATGGGTTAACTGAAAAACCCTGAGTTTGTCTAAAGACTAAGTGCCCTCGGTCCAGAGTAGCAAAATCTAATCAGGGACATTTGGGCTGAAAACCCTAGTCACTGTATTTCACTATTTCACAGTACAGCCTCTATATCAGATTGTTGCATCCAGACAGGTTTAAATGAGGACCAAATTCAAACAGCTGACTTCCAGAACCAAATAATGAAACTATGGAACCGAATAACAGAACTGGTCTGTATCTCCCTGAAAATTCAGCGTAAATAAATTTATAAAATCCGGTAAAAGGTAAATTTGCTAAATAAATTCACTTGCATATTACAGACAAAAACAGAGTCTGGATTTTGAAGGTTACCCAAATACATGTCACTGGATTTGATTGCCCAATTCCTGACACAGATGCTAGCAGGAAAAAATAATAAATAAAAACAATTTTAAAAAATGTTAAAATCATGGAGTGATGGAAAGATGTCTTGTAATGACACCAGTTGGCACCATCAAGATATTTCCTGGGTGATGAAAACACTCTTGATCTGCTCTGGTGTCGTGTGTCTTTGTCCATATTCCTGGTGTACAATGGTAATAGGAACCCTGAACAATGTCAACCCCTGGTTAGGATTTGTATGAGACGGCATGGAATAGGATCATTTCCTATTCCACACACTGACTCTGGCTGTGACATTAAAAGCATAATATGAGAAACTGGGCAGCACAAAAATAAGACAAAGCAAGGTAGTGGTTTGCCTTCAAGCTGATACGGGGAACAAACCAGACTAAGATACAAGAGTTAGAAAGTCAGGATCTGGCAAAATGATCAGTTATCATTGGATTTTAGGCCAAAATTGAAAGAATCTAAGTAGCTATTTCAGATTTTCTAGTATAGCCCAATATTGAATTCCCATGTCGGTTCCTTTCCATTCAGTGACCCATTCTTAAAGAAATATAATAAGCTACATTCATTATTTTTAATTTTTTTTAATTCTTTATTTTTCTTTGTGCATGTGAGGACAAATAACATTTGATCTTGCAGTGCCACAACAGCGACTGCAGGCTTATCTTGAACATCGAGTTGCTATGGCATGCAGTTAAACAGCACAATTTTAGTTATTTTTCATGCGAAGTTAACATGCTATATATGACGAGTATATTAGTGCATAAATTACATTGCTAGACAGAAGATTTCAGGCAGTCTAATACCTTGCTTAGTTTATATGCACAACTAGCAATTGTTCACGCTAATAATTACGATGAGCTGGGGTGTGTGGTAATGATTTAGCTCCGGCTAAGGTAAGCTATAAGGCATGTTAGTCGATGGGCTGGAGATCATTGCATTATGATAGGGCAGTGATGGCGAACCTTTTTGAGCCCGAGTGCCCAAACCGCAATACATGCCAACTTTTTTTCCCTCAAAATGCCAACACGGCAATTAAACCTGAATACTGAGGTTTAAGTTTAGAAAAAACAACTGGTACAGTCGAGTGTCTGTGTGACCATGGAGCCTGTAGCTGAGCAGGTCATGAATGCCCCATGCTGGTCAGGTCATGCTGTTTCGCTTCCTGGCCGGCGGCCACATTTGCCTCTCCCTGTCTAGATGTGGTGTAGTGGGTGGTTAGCTGGGGACTGGGTAGCGATACCATGTGGGGTGCCAAGTCGCCTTGCTTAAGGGTTGGGCAGGTAAACCCCGTTGCTGGTTACCTGTTTGCTGGAGCCCCAGTCTGTTTGAGATGGTGAGGTGTTGCTCAGATGGCCATGTGGCGGCGAGGCAGTGCGGCCATCTGAGCAACACCTCACCATCTCAAACAGACTGGGGCCATTTTAGATCCAGGACCTCGGATTGTGCCCTGTTGGTTTCGGTGGAGATCGCTTTGGTGCCCTCCAGTGGGAACCGGGATAACCCCTCCCCCCAGCCCAGAGGGGGGGGGGGGAGGGGCCTGTGAGATGTGTCCCAGAGCCATCATTTGGCAGCCAGATACGCAAGTAGGCAGGCCGTCCATCCCGCCTTTCTCACATGAAGGCCGCAAGCTCCAAAGCCTTGTATGGCCTGTGGGGCCCCAAAACTCCCAATCTCAGAGCCTGCTGTTGTGCCAACTTCAGCTCCGGCACCGTACTGTTTCCCTCCGGCTTGGATATAGGCTGTAAACCCAGATTATCGATCGAGAAGGCCATTTTCTGCAGGAGCCTCTTCCTCATGCGACTGGTCAGCAGGCCCCGCTCCCTTAAGCTACATTAATTTTAATGTTAAATACCTAATTTTTCTATTAAACTCTTCCCACATCAGATGGGTAATCCATTGCACCTGGAATTAATATGGCATCAGTGGTAGGCAAGCTTTGGTACTCCAGATGTATTGGACTACATGTCCCTGCTGCTGTGCCAGCAGTATGGCTGTAAGAGCATTAAACAGATGTAGTCCACAACTTCAGTGCTTATGGTTGAATATCCCTGAACTACAGTAAACAACTCATAGCTGGCAGCTGCTTCTGCGGTATAACAAATACAACTTGCCTATTTCAACCACTGCTGGGTGCCAACTATAATACCACAAAAGACACACTTGGCTCCGTCCTGGAGTTAAAATGCACTGACTTAGTATTTCCCTGCCTGTTTGAATATGGTCTGATCCAGTTTTAACATCCACTGCCAGTATAAAACAATTGTTATTCCCGAACTATTTAAAATCTGATGCTGGAACGAAATGAGGCCCCCCATCTGGCATTAATGTACAGAACTGAACAGTTGGAATAGAGAAGGGAGAGGACAGAGAGAGCTATACCTTCCATTATTTTTCATGGATAAGAGCAAACCGCATCTGTCTAGTACAAAACAGTCTTACATAATATTTACAATATACTAGTTCTTCAAAAGGCCACACATTTATTATTAACAAAAAGAAATACATTGTCAGGGTCTTTATTTTTTCAGTATGACAATGTTTTAGTGGACCAATTAAAAAAAACACAAAAAAAAAAACCCATTCACCAACCAAATCCCATCCTGACCCTCTCTGGTGGTAGTGGTGGGGGAGGATTTATTGCCCAGATGTCTTCCTTGCCTTTAAACCACTGCTTGTTCAGATGGCCATAGTCCCACTGACCTGCATGTCATTGTTAATGCAAAAATGTGGATGGAGAAAAAAAAAAAAAAAGGGAGGGGGCATCCACATTTAACACCTGCTCTCCCAGAGCTACCGCCTTCTCGCTGCAATAGCCTGGCAGTGAAGGGGTGGATGCCATCTCTCTGTAACCCCCCTCACCCCCCTTCTCTCCCCCATCTCTCAGTCCCAGCTGCCTGGTTGCTGTGGTTACGCAGCTTCATGTTCAGGCGGGTGCAGAATGCAAGATGAGAGAGGTATAAGCATGAATAACAAAATATACTTGTACTCCGCCTTTCTGTGACACGAGTGGGCCATCCACCAAACACTGGCATCTGGAAGAGGGACATTAAAGGAAGCGGGGGAGGGGAAGACAGTATATGAGATATGCCCTTTAGCAGCCGTACAGCTGAGCTGCAAATGTGCTCAGGTACTGCTGCTACTGCTTGGAAGTAGAAAGAACCAATAATGCTGGAATTCACAGGGCTTCCTCTCTATAGCCCTCATGTCTGTGCTGGCATGCTGCTCTTAATGAGCTAATTGTGTTTGTTAATTGACAGTAATGGAGCTTAGTTAAAGTTGCATATTAATTAAGACATTTCCCAGCTGAAAGAGATACACACGCAGAGTCATATGTATGAACATATACGCACACGGCAGGATGACCTTGTTCTTTGACGTCCGATGTTAATGCTTCGCAATACGCAGTATTCATTTCAAATCTTTTGTTACCAATTAAGACTCGTGCTTTCAATGTCGGGCAAGTTGCAATTTGTCAGAATTTTTGGCAAATAGGTAGGACGTCCGAATTCAGAGAGCAATAAGAACGTAGAACCAAATAAACAACTCGTGCAATCGACGAGCATGTTTGTTTGATTTGGGATTGAGAGTCGGCACAAAAATAAATAAATAAAATTAAAAAAGGATGATTGATGGACCCTCACTAAATGTTGATTTCATTCACAGATTAAGTGAGAATTACCCAATAGAGAGGAAAAAAGAAAGTTTAAAAAAAAAAAAAAATATATATATATATATATATATACACACATACATACATATTCCAAATATATACGTCAGATATAGAATATAATAACACGTATATATTGTGCAGTACACCGACTGGCCCATTTTCATGCCTTTTTGGTGTGTCTGAATGGTTTTCAGGGCTGGACTGGGAATGAAAAGCAGTCCTGGAAAAAAATATTCTATACCCATAATGCATTGCGCCAGCATTTGGCTGACAACTGGATAATCTCAGTCAATATCAATTAAATTCCCATAGGAAAGCTTTAGGGGGGCTATTGCGCATGTGGGGCAAAATGCTGCCCTTCACCGCACCAATCAGCATCTCCTCATAGAGATGCATTGCATCAATGCAACTCTGTGGGGAGCGATCAGTGCTTCCATGTAGAGTGTGCAGCACTGGACTAGGAAGCATCTCTAGTGGCCGTCTGAGTGACTGTCACTAAAGATGTGCCTAGGCAGCAATGTAAACACTGCCTTTTCTCTGAAGCATACAATGACAGGCTATAGACACCAGAACCACTCCATTAAACTAAAGTAGTTCTGGTGACTATAGTATCCCTTTTAATACAAAGTCTTTCTCTCACCGGTCAACTCTAAATTACAGGGAGAGCAGGAGACACAAGTGAAAATGCACTTTGTCTCTTTGTCACCCAAGCCCCCTTCATGTGTCTCTTAGCCTAGCCCCTTTCTCCCCTTCCCTAGCCCTTCTGTTAGTCTCTTTCCCAGGCCGCAGCTCCTCTGTGTGTTTCATTCTCCCCTTCCCCAGCCCTTCTGTGAGTCTCTTTCCCAGGCCACATGTGTCCCATTATAGCTCCCTCCCTGTTCCCCTAGCAGTCATGTGCTCTTTGAGCACTTCCTGTGAGACCGGGTAGGGGAACAAAATCTCCTCTACCATGGTCTACCTGCTCGGCCCCGCTACACTCTGTGACCGTTAGGGAGCGCATCCCCTCCTGCCGGTTACGGTGTAATTGCAGGCCAGTGCACACTGGGTGGCCGCGCACCTGCCCAATAGTATGCTGGCCCACTGGAAAATTTCCCTGTATCCCGGTGGTTTCCCCCAATATTTTAGCATGGACAATATTTGCATGAGCCAAATTGCAACATGAACAATTATTGGACTATCTAAACCAAGCTCGTTTGAGCTGGGTCCTCTCATTAACCCACTGCTCCTGTAACATTTTGTAGTTGGCTATATATATTGCTGAATATTCCCTCTTTATTTCATAATATTGTAAAGCGCTGCAGTATAAGTTGGCACTATAAAAATGCCAATAATAATTATATTTTATTTTTGAACAAAGTTATTTGGCCGAAAAAAATATTTCTGCATAAGACTACAAGACTACATTTAAAATGCATATTACATCAGAATTAATTGAAAAGTGTTATTCACAGTATAGCATCACATTATAAATCCCAGGATCTCTACATCATTGAACAGCACCAAGACACACGTAATGTGCAGCAACATATGTCCCAGACTGATGGGAGTTCCACATTCTGAACAATGTAGTCCTTTAGTAGTTTATACCTATTGAATTCTAACTGGTCCACTTCCCTTACTGAAATGCCAAATGGGCAGTAAGTATGAAAAACATTAACATACAAGGTCTGTCTGGAAAGTATCCAGCCATATAATATGAAAAAAAGACATTTATTGAAGAAAATACAAGATACAAGAAACATTGTACATAGGACAATGACGCCTCAGTCCCCTTCATAGTAGGCACCTTGGGACCTCACATAATTCTCCCAGCATTTCTTCCACTGTTCAAATCACTCTGCAAAATCCTTTTTTGGAATCACCATCAGCTGCCTTGTATTTACTTGTATCCCGTTGACGGTCTGAAATATCCTCCCTTTCAAAGGTGATTTTAGTTTTGGGGGAAGCCAGCTAAATCTTTCAACAGATTCTCAACCATCTTTGAAGCGTATGTTCCATTCTTATTTGTGCTGCACTCATTACATTGTCTCAGACAGCCTTCTGAATCATCCAAATAGTTTCTGGAAGAACGTTCAAGCTCAACGCAAAGTTTGATGCAGATTTGTTGCTCTACTCGCTCACTCAATTTAAATGCGATGGCTAAACACTACACATGCTTACTCAATGGCATCTTGCGCCCACTCTGACTAGTACAGTGAAGTCGTCATTCACGCAAGCGCATTCCAGTTCACTCTCCTTGGCTGCCAGGTTACATCGATGCCGCACAAACCGTTCTTGTTAAATTAACAATGGTTGGACTTTTTCCAGACAGACTTTGTATTGGCCCCCCCCCCCCAGGAAATCATTACACAATCACCTGGAATGATTGATTCATGCAGATAATAACACCATATCATGACCGATAAGCACAATGGCTGAACTGAAGGTCTATCCCACCATGACATTTTTTCTTATGTTTAATTGCCTAGTTTTGACAATGATCAGTCTTATCTTCCTACACATGTTGAGCATCAACAGAATCAGAAATGGCCCTCTGTACTGCAATATTATTGTTGTTGTTTTGATGGGTGGTGCCCAGGAAGCAGCAGTAAGTCAGACTCATAGTCAAGGATCAGGGGCAGGCAGCGCAGGTTCAGAAACGGTCCCTGGAGGAGCTGCATCAGCCACAGAGACGCAGCGAGGGACAATTCCATGGATGGTTGAGTATCTGTAGCCTTTATGTCCACCTGGAGTTTGGTTATTGTTATCTGATGTCTTTATATGAACAAGGTGTTTTTGCGTACAGTCGTGTTTTTTTGGACCATTCTTTGTAAACTCTAGAGCATCAATGGATGCAAAAACATCAAGGTCAGCTGTTTGTCTGTGGTTTGACTCTGCGATGCCACCATCCCTGGTACCATTTAAGTATTTACATCACATATCTTCCTCAATATAATGTTTGCTTGAACAACTAACCTTTTGATCACATCTGCATGCGTTATATATTAAGTTGTAGTCAAAAGTCACATGATTTTCTCTTTAGCTATTTGCATTAGCAAGCAGATACACATAATTCTGTGTAGGAACATGCTGGGCTTGTGTGATCTATTAATGAGTATTAGCAGAAATTCCAAATTCAGCTATTAGAATGTAGACCCAATTAATCATTGATCAAACCTCGCATTTTGTATCTTTAGATCTTTAAAATGAACTGTTGTATATGTGTAGCATTGCTCAGTAGGTGGGTTTTATAAATAAGTTTAGGTGAAGACAAAACATCAAGAAATAAAAGTCACTACAACAACCTAATAGCATTAATTCTTAAACCATTCACTACCAGGCATAGGCAACCGTTGGTACTCCAGATGTTTTGGACTACACCTCCCATGATGCTTTGCAAGCATTATGGGTGTAAGTGCATTATGGGGGATGTAGACCACAATATTTGTAGTGCCAAAGGTTGCCTACCCCTGCACTGAACTCTGAATTGTATGGTAGGTAAAGTTACACCTTTGGCTTAAATGTTGCCATTTGGATAGGAATTCAATTTTTAGTAAATAACGCTGATGGTGTGTTAGTCTACAGAACAAACCATGGTAATTGCTAAACTCCAAGCAGCATTATTTTAGGAATTGCAATAGTAAAAGATCTGGGGGGGCTGACTTTATCCAGGATGAGGGCTCTCGCCACCCGTTTCAAATCAACACAGTGCCAGATACATTGTGAGAGCAGCCAGACTCTAGCACTCTGTTCCTCATACCTTGTGTTTGGCTTTTAATCCCCCTGCTGCCAGAGGCCCTAACCGTGAAAAGGATACATTACGAAGTGCACAATAGTTATTTGAAGTAAACAAAATGCCCTTAGCATAGCGTAATAAAGCATGCCAAATGTCCAGTCTTTGTACATCCACCTATGTGAAAATGCCCTGTCTGTACAAGTGCTGTAATATTTGCTCATGCAAGCTCATTACAAAAATAACTGCAAGGCAAAAGGGAAGCACATTGCATCATTTAACGTCGGCAGCAAGGGAAGGAATGGGTAGGAAGCAGGCGAGCATTGTAGATCTGAGGTGCATGGTATAAAGGGGGTGGGGGCAGCATCCAGTACCATGCTAGCATAGAAAGCAGCATGCGTTCCTGCAGTGATGCCAGCTGTCACTTCTCTGCCTACTAGTCTATGATAAGACACACATCTGTGTGTACGAGCATGGGCACCCTGCCAGTCAGGGAGGCCCTGCATAAAGCTTCCCCTGGCAGGGAGCCTAGCTCTGCGCTAACATGAGCAGGCAGGGGGGGGGGGGTGAGGTGTCAGGCTGCGCGTGGCGCTTGCTGTGTATCTTTGATCAGCAGATGTTTACAGGCAGCTGCCAACTCTTTCTAGGCTGCAGCGTCACCCCACAAAAGAAAAAACAAAACAAAACTATGCTCCAAATTAAGGGCAGTGACAGGAGAGAGACCAACGTGAAAAAAGAGAGCACATTCAAAACCAGTTAAGCCATTTACACACGTCCCAGAAGTCATTCATACTGATAATATCAATGTTTAACCTGAAAGGGCACATTTCAGTGTACATCCTGTGGCATTGATGTGAATATTACCCAATTCAATAGTACTTAGAATAGTGAAAAACTGTTTAGAGCAAGGGTGCCCAAAAGGTAGCGCCCCAGATGTTTTAAAACAACTCCCATGATGCTTTGTCATTCTGAAGACCTGCAAAGCATCATTGGAGTTGTAGTTCTACAACATCTTGGGATCTACCTTTTGGGCACCCCTGGTCTAAAGTCTAATAAGGAATGGACCCTTAAATCTCAGACACTGCAGTTGGAGTAATAATGGTCAAGCTACTACATTTGTACTCCTGCAACAGCTGTTGGTTATAGTGACTGCACATCTTGCTGTACTCCACAGACCAGAATTCTCATTGACCCACTCCTCTTTAAATGACTAAGGATTGGCTTTTTGGTTGTTTTTTTCACTTCAAAGGCCAGAACCTTTTCACTGCAGGGCTGCACCTTCCCCCAATTCCTGTCAGTCACATCTCTTCCACTCCCTATGTAATCAGGCATTTGCACCTTGGGGAATGTCCCATTCAGAAAGCTGGTGTCACTGCAGACACTCCCTGCTCAGCCTGGGGGATGCCAGCCTGCCTGGTAACATTGTAACAGTTGCCAGGAGAGGTGGGGGAAGTGGGTTAATTGGGTTAATTAGCTTGTTGCCTGCCATTAGCAGACCCAGTTAATATATTATGGTGTGCCCCAGTGAGTCTGCGTTTTATCTGATTCCTCCGGGGCATGGGATGAGGGTGTGGGGGAAGGAAGCCTCTTTTTTTTCCCTTCTACAGGACAAGACTTGCCCTCTTTTCATTTCTGATTCCTTATCCCCCTTCTCTCCCCACTCCTGTGTTTACCTGACCTGCTGAAAGGAAAGATAAGTCAGCTTTTGCCTTTTTTTTCTTCTCACAATGCTAACCAACGATAAAAAAATAAATATATATATTATAGAAAAAAAAAACAACCACAGAGCAATGTTTGTATCTGTCGTCACAGGCTTTACATTGGCGAAACAGAATTATTTTGCATCAACACCCTTAATGTACACTACAGTCCTTAATCCCCACTGATACAGAGTCACATCACAAGATACATTTGATGTATGAAGGCTTTGGATCTTAACCTAGTGCACCAGAACAATTTGCGTGCAGTGATTACTAAACACCACCACATCATTTATACTTGTTTACCAAGTAAGCTATAGAATCTAAAAGCTAGGGCTTGGCATCGCTATGTGGTGCCAAGTATTCTGTGATTTCACAGTATGTCGCGCAATATATAGATTTCCTAACGTGAATCGACATTTAGCAGACTAGGCCTGCTCCACAGGATCTGAACACTGGTGAATTCAATTTGGCTGGTGGCAAGTTTTGCCCTAGGTAAGCAGCTCTCTGTATCGGTCAGTGCTTGCTCCAGGATTCTGACAATATACTACTTTGTAAGGTCTTCCTTCACTGGATAATTGTAGCTCAGGTTTCTATGATTAACCTTACTGATTAAATCCCAGAATGAATCATTTCACAGCAAGTGACCAGTGATATACAGAGTAATGTTCAATACATGATGGGATCAGAACGTCTCACAAAAACAAACAGTACATTACATGAAAAACTGCAGATTAACAAACTTTTTACGATCTATATAAATCTAGACTTTTCTGCCATTCTGTTGCTACCATTGGACATACAAACTACAAACTAACTAATAGAACTCAAAAAGGCCCTAAATTAACTCAGAGCTCGATATGTACAGGGTGGCCCATAAGTCCCTACCCATCTATATATCTTGTTTTCAGTGTATCTGTGTGCTGGATGGGTAGGGACATATGGGCCATGCTGTAGATTAATCTCTATCGGAAGCAATACACTAGCAGGAGGGTCTACATTTACACTGAGTAATCACCTATAGAAGTAATTAAACTGGGGGTATTGGGGTAATTTGATGCAATTGAAGACTAATTATGTCACCGCCTTATCCAACATTGATAAAGCTATAGCTTAGTTTGCGGATCACCCAAAGAAAGGTACATTACACAGGGTTATTTTAGCAGAATCCTGTTAATATGGGTACTTTCCTTTCTATCTCCGTCACAAAGATTATTGTTAATTACTCATGTTGTTCCGTTCTTCTAGATTATAAAAGGATTTTCATAGCCAAAGGTGATTAACACAATTAGTTTGAGGCATTGGTATGATGCTGTATATATTTCTCACTTGATAAAGACAATATTTAACCAGGAAGGATAACACCCCCCGAGTTTTTAAGTAAATCCAGTGTTTAGATGTTACTACCACCCAACTCAAATGATACTCAATATAACAACCTTGTCACAATTGGAGCTCCGTCTACGAATCTATCTCACCAGCTAGGCAAATACCATAATATATAGGGCCCGTATGAAAGCATAGTGTGCACTAGCTGACTGCTTAGTATTGCTAGTTGTGATGGGAGCTGTGTCTGCTTAGTGTGGAGGAACCCAAATGCTTCAAATGTTCAATACTGAGCTCTAGATTCAAAGAGCCAACTTACACAACAAGCTATGGGACAGCAGGGACACTGCTGTGATGTAATAGTGTGATATCTACTACATTGGAGGAAGTATGGTTGGGAAGTGATCCTACTCGGCAGGAAGCTGCAAGAATGCAAATATGTTCTTCCTCACAATGAGGCAGGTTTCATGTTATATTAACCCCATCAGAGCAAGTTGTTAGGCATATACAATGATATCATGACAGTTTTAGCATATTGCCATGAAGGGTTAAAGATACCATTTTCTTTTTTTTTTTTATTAATGTAATTTTCTGGATCGGTAAATTTACAGGGCATTGGGACAGCAAAATATTACATTTAATGCATGCACCAACGGTTTGTTTTCTATTTTAGAATTCTGTTTGCCTATATTTTCCAGTTAGATTTAATAAATGTATTCATACTCACTGTAATTTTCTGGTCCTGGTTAAATCCATTAGCAGCATGACAAATCGAACCTGATGCTGCCATGGATGGGTAAGGAAAGGATTATTCCAGGCATTATGACCACTTCAGTGATATGAAGTTCTCATGGTGCCTGGAATCTGTATGCGCAACATTTTGCAGTGAAAAGTAACACATACTGAGTTTAGCCCCTGAAGGTGTAAATCCACCTCCGCCAACATCATGCAATGTCATCTGCCAGGCCGGAACTAGAATCCTAGACTGGCTAATGTCAATTTTTGCAGTCACTGGCTGACATCGGTAGCTAAAGCTCTCAGCCAACGAATGAGCAGCTGGGTAGACATCTGACTTTAGCGCCCAGCAGGACCAGGTAAGAGGGTTAACCATTGAAAATGATTTGCCCAATTACTGGGGAGCGGTGGCAGGGTACTCCTACCATCATACTGATATACAAGTTATAAACTCCATTTACGGCACACTCACCAGACTCTGTAAGAAAAACACTCCGGAAAGATCACATAGTAGTTAACAGATTTTTATCCTTTTTTTTTTTTTAAACTAGAATCCAGACTTCTAAACTACCAAATAAAAGACACGTGGATAGGATTGCGGGGAGCATGTGAGACATTTGAAACGAATTTGGGGAACATGTGTGTAGTATCTGGATAGTGAGAAAAATATTTTTCAATAACATACACTGACATCTAGTGGCTGTAGAGGGGGGAAAAAAAACAACCAACCAAACAAAAAAAACCCTTTCCATGTGTTTTGCATTCCACCAATGCATTAGAGAACAATATACCCATGATTCTACAACAGTAAAACCATTTAAAGCTTAACTTCTTCAATGGACTGTTATTAAAAGAATAGTTAATTATACACTTTCAAATAAGGATTAATAAAATAATGGTTTTTAATAATTCCATCCAAGTCAGCGGCAATCAATAGCACTCTAGTGATTTGTTGTAAGTGTGAGTATCACATATTGATCACATATTGTAATTTCATAGTAGTGAGCCTCAGCATTCATTTTGAAAGCTTCATCGCATTATGAGTATATTCTAGAAGTATGTAGAGTTGCTAAGAACGCTTAACACCCAAACTCATCTGTCTCCTCAACATTCCCGTGTCCTGATGTCTTCATTTCCTTGATCCTTCACTGCCTGTCCTGTTTTTTTTTTACCTTGGATACATTAGAAAACTCCAAAACTGTGCTTCTGTTACTGAATATTTGACTAAATCAACTGATCCTGAACTTGCGCTGACTTACTTTACTACTAGCCTTGGTTATGGTTACAGACATTACCAGTTCTTCTCCTTTAGCGTAACGTCTAGCCCATGTGCCATTATCTGAAGGACTTTCATTCTCCAAAATAATTTCTTCTTTATTGTACAGGTGTGTTAGTCTCTTTTCAAAACATACAGGTGAAACTGTTCTTATAGTAAAAGCCAAAATTGCCATCCTGTCTAAATAAATCATCTTTGTTCACAAATGTACATTTTTAAAACCACAATGTCCATATATGGAGATAATAGAAAGGCAAGTAAATTAAAGGACACTGAGCACCAAAACCACTAAAACGCACTGTAATAATTACAGTGCCAGGAGTCCCAGCTGCCACCTGACGGTTTACAAACAGTTTACCACTTACCTTGCTCTGTCAGGCAGCTGTGCTACTGTCTGTCTGTGCTGATATGGTAAAGCAGAAGTTCATATTTCTGCGTTATCATACACACATCAAGTTGCAGTGGTTATGGTGCTTAGAGTGTCCTTTCAAATGCAAGTGTTTAAATAAAAGTGCTGTAAAACTTGTCTGTGGTTCACACAATATAAGTGAAAAAGAAGACCGAAAGCTGCACATATGAAACATGATGTGCAAAAATAGTAAAAGTGAAAGGAAGTAAACTCACATATAGTCAAATTCTGATTCATGTAAGGGAGCAGATATTTTCAACCACACATTAGCAAACTGCTGGAGTATGGTTCTCATTAGCACATAACAGGGATGTTTAAAGAGTTAATGGAGAATATACAGCTTACAAAGATATTTAGAAAGTGGGACTTCAACTCTAATATACACTGGAGATAGGCACCACCACCTATTGAGTTGAAGCACCCAGCACACAGTTTTTGTGCTGCTGTTGCTTCCAGAGCTAGCCCAAACTCTATAGGAAGTGACCAACATATGGTACTAGCTTCAGTATATGTGGTCTATCACTTTGTGGCTGAACTGGTGTTGCTCCGATACATTTCCACACTGATGTATACAGCATTTCTGCTAAATATTTTGGTGTAGTTTGTATTAAAAACCTAAAAATAAGAACTAGTAAATGCTTTCAAAAGACAAACACATGATTCGAGCAATCAGTGCCAGACATTAATTACTTGGTTCATTGTCCATTACTTCCTTAGTCCTACATGGAGATTCTGTGCTAAATACTAATAAGCCATAACTTACCCGGTTTCCCGAATTTAAAAGAGGCACTCCACACACACATAAAGCATTTTTATTTGCCGTAATGCTGTGTGTGTGAACAGTGTGTTTTTTGTTTTTGTAGGTTTTTTTTTTTCTTTTCAGTTTCGTAAAAGAACAGATTTCAATAGAAATTAGCACTTTTATTAATTAAGTTTGTAACACCGCCTAGCTTTTAACGAGACAACTGCAGTATGTGATTGGGCAGCCACAGAAAATGTGGATTGGATGAGAAAGGGACGACTTGCAAAGGCTTCATACAAGAGATCTGCAGCTTTTGCAAACGGTTTTCAGATTTACCCCAATGAAATAATGCATAATCAATTGTAAGTATGTTTTCATTTGGTGTGTATCTACTAAACATGTTTTAAAACTCAGATCTGTTAAGCAATATTGCCTGCTGTTATTATTAGCATTTATACAGTGCCCACTTGTTGTCCAATAATATGCTTCGCATAGAAAAGCATTTGACTGCACTGTTCTATTGGAAGGGTGGGAGTGGACACACCAAGGGAGCAGATAGGGGAAAAAAATAAAACCAAATCATGAGAGGCATGCTGGAAGTTGGAAACTTGGGAAGGAAGGGACACCGACGAGCTGAAAACATTTGTCGCTTGCATGCAGTGCGCTCTGACTACAGACGTATTTATGAACAGTATTTACATTAAACAGCCTGGCCCAAGTGGTCATGGTGGATGGAGTAACCATTTAACATTTAATTGAGAGACAAAGATGATGCTAACAGATATAAGGTAAAAAAAGCCTTACGAAAATAAGCTTACAATAGAGGAGGATGGGGTAAAGGAAATTAAGATGAAATACAGTCTCTGTCAGAGGGGAGGCTTGGTTTACTATTGTCAAACTCATGTCTAGTTAAGCTTGTAAAAGTGATGTGTGGCTGCTTTAATGGACACAGTATTCCTGAGCTATAATGAAAGGGAGGGAACTAGATATTAATGTTGAGACCGCATACTCTTAGGCAACATTCCTTATTAGTGGACTCCAGTACCAAAACATTTTACAGTACACACAGTGAGCCCCCCAACTCATCTGCAACATGCCTTAAATGCTAACCCTGATTCATGGTTTGTGGTTTTGTCTGGCCATATAAACATTTTGGACAGACAAGCTTAACTACTAATCATATAACCCATTTTGTCCAAAGGGTAGAAATGTTTAGAATCCATTTCCTAGGAAACAATCCACAGAAACTCATAAGGTGTAGCTAGTATACCCATAGTCACAGATCTGATCAGCAATCTATAAAGTTTTCCCGCAGTTGCAAATTAGTTGACTCCATGTAATCTCATCAAACAAATGTATGGAGCCATAATTTACACTTGCAGCAACCTATGAAATAAAACCGCCTTTAAAACTGTGATTTGGTAGATGACAAGGTTACTTCAATATGACGACACACTGACTGTTCACCCCACCCAAAGAAGATTATGGTTGACTGTTCAACAGCTTGAGGCCCAGGCAAAGTAAACCCATATTAGAAATATATCTCAACAAACAGTGATCAAATTGTGAGGACTTACCACATGAACTACTCAACCTCACAGAGAAAAACTTAATTCTTGTCACTAATATTCTCTAGAAATGGACTTTAAAAGAAAATGATGCAAAATGGAGGTTCCTGTGCATCCACAAGCTCTCCTGCTGCTGTCGCCAAAGCTATTTAGCAAGTTGGACTGGTTGACATCCTGTTTTTTTATATCTAGTGTATTTAAACAAAATACCATTTCATGTGTATGACATTGTAATTATCCGCTTTGTCATCTATGAAAAAATTTGTAAAAGAAATGCTCTTAAATTTAAATGCGTCAGTCTTATAATCTATTTTTTGTTGCACATAATAGAAACCATAAGTGCATTACGCAAACTGAGCGTTTATTCACTAAACTGTGAACTATGGTCATTTTAACCTCTTTGTTTAACATTTTTCATCGGTACAATCCTAACAAGTCACTGGCCCTGAAGAGATTAAAATTAAAAATTGCAGAAATTAGGTCACAAATAGCAGACTTACAAAGATTTATCCAGCTCGTTTATTTTGGCCTGCATTTTACAATTTGGTTATCAGATCACAGCAATTCAGAGTTTAGTGAATAATCCTCTTGGTGTTATGAAATGCAAATCATCAGGACAGTTGTAGTTCTTCCATATAGGAGAGTCTGCCTTTTGACCCCGTTTCTCACAATATGACATTTAGAAGAATTATAATTTTTTTTATAAATAGCACACAGTATCATTTTGGGGGAAAACAAGCTCAGGCAACAGAAGTGATTCTGTTAGTAAGTAACGCAGATATTATCAATAAGAACAAACTACGTCTTTAGTGACAAAACCAAAGTTACTTTGCTGTTTAATTACAGTAAACCGATTAAATAAATCAACAGTTTTTACACACAAGATAGAAAAGTCACTTTCTTCAAGTATCCTGCGTGAAGGGAGTTCTTCATATTTTGGGGCACAGTGCAAGTTTCAATCCATGAATTACACCCCACAAATATAGTTTGATCCTCCTCTGTACTGGATCTTACAAGTGGAAAACATGACTACATAAGGTGCACAGTTATTTAAATCGGCTCTTTGATGGCTAGGGTTCGTACCACAAGTTGCCGCTCATAAATAAAATTGTTTGGGGCTTGTCCCTCATATTATTTCAATTCTAACAAAATTATACAAAATCAGCTATCTGTAACTAGCAATAAACACATTGCTCCTCAGTCTGTAATGTGGAATTTTGGCTTGGGTAATAGTTTTTGTGAAAGGAATTGAGTCTATGCAAGACATGATCCACTTGCCTCCACAATTCCTGCTCTGTAGTTCTTGCACTTCCCAGTATCACTCTCTCCTCACTTTCCATTGACTGCAAATCCCACAGTGGTTCTTTGCGTGTGAGCACACAGACGTAAGAGGAATACAGATTGAAGGAACTAAAAGCAGGATGCCAAAAGGTAGGGTCGGGAGATACTCAGTATGGGATGTCATTCTGATAATATTGGATCATGTCATAGGTTTTGCTCCTGAAAAAAAAAATCAAAAATCAAAATCACAGGCAGTTAACACGCACTTTTGTTACGCTCAGACCACAAGGGACAGCATTTGGTGCAGTCTACATGTTGGTGGTGTTGTGTAAATCGTAACCATTTGGAATAAATGCTTTTAAATTATTTGTCTCATTTACTAAAATGCTTCTTTAGTGTTAAAAGAAAATCTAAAACGATTTTTGTAAATTTAGAAAGCCAAGTTGTTTCAGACTTTCATAGAGGCTTTGCTTCTGAATATCATATTATTCATTCAATTCAACTAACAGTAAACGGACAGTGTTAGAATATCCAAAATACAAATGAAAAACACTATACCACATCAAACTTGATAAGAAACAGAAATGGTCATCTATGGGCACCCATGAAGGTTTAAATGATTTTACTTCCTCTTTAAATAAATTACCAAATTGTGTTTTTTCTAGTGAAGAACATTCTGTAGAATATCCATTTAAAGAACAAAAAGTCTTTTTTTCCTTTTAAGAAATAAAATAGTCTGCTCAAATAGGCAGATTTTTCTGTAAATTTTATATATTAATTGAGAGAAATACATTTTTACAGGAAGAAACTGTGACTGCCACTAGAGGTGTTCTTATTCCATAATGTAAACATTGGCTTTTCTCTGAAAAGCCGGTGTTTACATTAAAACATAGGGCCAGGCTATAGACACTAGAACCACTCACTATATTAAGTGGTAGTTTTTCTGGTGACTATAGTATCCCTTTAGGTTCTCAATTCACTACAATGTGGTTTTTAAACCAAGTTAAAAACAATATGAAATGTAAATTATATGAAGGGAGAATTACAGACCTGTTACTGAGGAAGCAGTTTTGGATAATTTTCAAGATAAAATTTGCAGCATCTCTCTCAGTCATGTTGGCGCTAAAGCGATGCCTGTTGAATGATGCAAATTGTAAAACGTTAGCACTGAAACATAAGGTCTATGTATCCCGAAAGTATAGATGGACATTAACTTACTTCAGCTGTTTAATAGTCTGTCCACGAAAGCAGGGCAATCCTGTGTCCAGCATAAGAGTGACCAATGACACCACAGCATCCATATATGGTCTGAAACACAGAAACAAACTATGCAATATGTGTACAGGAGCAATATGATATATGTATTTTACACAAACATTCATAATGGGCACATTCTAGAGTCAAACACGGCATACAATTTTGCCCAAACCTTTGTGCAATGACAAAGCATAACATATCTATTTAATATTTAATAAAGTAATTTAGAAGATGACATTCATTATTCTAGCTGCTCATTTTCCCTGCAGACATCCCACTGGAGGAAGGGACAATAAATGTATAGGATATGTCTGATGCAGATCAAAAGTTGTCTAGTGGAAGAGAATAGACAGGGTGCGTTGCCAATTCGTATAGTGATAAAAACACAGTTACTATGAATACATGTATTTCTTTTGGCCCTGCACACAATGAGAAACCGCAAACTGGCAGACTGCCTCAGGGAATAGGAGAAAGCACTACTTCCTCACCTGACAGCCAGGTAACCACGTACACACATCTCCATAAACCATTTGAAGGGTGTGGCTTCCATCTTGCCTCCCATTATCATCACCATTTCATCAGTCAGTTTGATATCTGGCTCCCAACCCAAGTTACCTCCTGGAGAACTCTCAAACATAAAGCCAAAATCTGTTGGGAAAAGGGAAAAAATAAACAGAGGTTGAAAATGTAAGGGAAAAGAAAAATCTTGCTGCCCTGTATGTAGAACACAATTCCAGAGTGTTTGACACAAAGTGGAGAATGTAATTAAAAAAAAAAGAAAGAAAAAAAAAAAAAAGAAAGATAAATAGTGACCTTACTGCACTAAGAATCATTTTCTTTCTTTGGGAATGCAATGTAAGTTGAAAAATGCGTACACAACTTAACCCCTTAAGGACCAAACTTCTGGAATAAAAGGGAATCATGACATGTCACACATATCATGTGTACTTAAGGTTAAGGTAAAACTCTTAAGCAAATGAGAGGAACTGCCTATATGTGTTTGATGCAACTTAAACACACTTAAAAATGAAGTTGTTAGGGGGGCGGAGCCTGACGACCAACCTGTATAGACGCCATCTTACACAGCTCCCAGATTGCCAACCACAATCCTGCAAAAATCACCCTACATAGGGGCCATCCGGCAAAATAAAGTGCATATTCAGCACCACGACGTCGGGGCGAGCAGTTTGATGCCCCTTTTTCAAGCCGCCTAGCAATAATACCCAAGGTTGGGGACATAGGGGAAATGCTGCTCCGACCAGCGCAGACCGCGCCAGCATATGCGGATCCCCCGCCAAACATGGCCCCCGGAGGGAGAGGGGAGACCCCACACTCAGAACCCCCAGGTGGGACACACAACACCCCCAGCCTCGCCAGAGGACTCAGCCCCAACTACTAAAGGGGACCTGAAAGCCCTCTTGGCAGACATCCAGAAGCTACTGGCTGCAGATGTAGCCCTGATTAAAAGGGACATGCAACAAGTCACAGACCGTGTTACAAACGCAGAAAGGGACATAGCAGGAATCCATACCACTATGACCACCCTGAAAGACTCAGTCTAACAGCTGCACATGGAACAACATGTCCTAGCAACCCAAATAATGTCCCTTGAAGACAAACAACGCCGAACAAACAAAGATCCGCGGCATACCCAACACCATCACCACTGAAGAACTGCTGCACTACACGCGACGTCTCTTGACTACAAGCCTGTCACAACCAATAGCTAAGAAAATCACACTGGATGGTATGTACCGCGTAACAGGCTCAGCCCGCACCGCACCGGGCACCCCCAGAGATGTCATCCTGCGATGTGTCACCATACATGACAAGATTCAAATAATGACTGCCCTGAAAGGCAAAACGCCACTAGAATTTGAGGACGCAAAGTTATTATTTTTTCAAGACCTCACCAGAGCCAAGTTGCTTAGACGCAAATCCTTTGGCCCAGTAACGTCCACTCTACCAAAGCGAACATACCATACAGATGGGGTAACACCGGCTCCTTAATCGTTCATCATGCTGGGACCACCCACAACCTTACCTCCCCCATGGGAGCCCCAGCCTTCCTGTCTGCAATGGGACTGCAGCCGAGTCAACCTCCTACCATAGATGACAACCAAAATATAACCTGGGACCCAACACCCAGCACCTCAACCGGACAACTGGCGAAATACCCACAGCGCCCCAATACCTGACCCTAATCTGGGACTGAGCCAGCCTTG